GAAAGACCTCTAAGATCACGTAATCTAACTGTAAAGACTATCTAAGATCATATAGTTCAACTCTTACCCTATAACAAGACCCCTTTGTGTTACAACATGATGCTCTTGCCCCTTAGTATGACCCTCTTCCTTCACAGCATGACCTGCTTTCATCACAACATGACCTCTTGCTCTATAGCATATCTACTTTGCTCCATGACATGACTCTGTTTCACCACTGCATGATCTCCTTGCCCCATAGCATGGCCCTCCTGACCTCACTACTTGAGTTAGCCCCAAGTTTGGTCACCCAGTGCATCCTGCAGCTGGCAAAAGCCCTGAAATCAGTTCTTCTATGGCAGTGGAGTTTGTGATACGGTAGAAATTTATTCATCTCTGGTCACTGCTAATTGCCAGTGACAACTGGAGGCAGCTCCTCACGTGCGGATGGTGATTCCAAAGCGAGACAGCTTCACACTTTGCCTAGGGTAAAACTTTTGCAGATTGAAGTAAAGAAGGGTGGGCTTTGAAAGCTACTTGCTTATAAAAGATGACTCTTGATGCACCAGGATTTGTCTAGATTAATTTCACAAAGGACCAGCTTCCTCCCTCGTCCTCCTTTGGACTACTTGTTCCATAAGAATATAGGGCTTAGAACCACTTTTCATGCCACGCTTTGCACTCGTTTTAAAGCACCCCAGAGATACCTTCCATTCACCCTTGGGTGGCAGATGCTGCTACAGCAATGAGTGGAGCATGGACAGGGTGCTGCTGCCCTCCAGTGGGCTGAGGCTGAAAAGGGAGATGGTAGTAGACACCACCAGGCTGCACAGAGGGCGAGGGATGGTTGGTGAGACCACAACTGGAGTGTTAGGACCAGTGCTGGGCCCACGGTACACGAGAAATCGTGGGGGCAGGCTGGAGAGAATCCAGTGAAGGACCACCAAAAGGCATGGAGCAGCTCTGATAGGATGAGAAGCTGACAGAGCTGGGGATGCTCAGTCTGGGACAGGGGGAACTCAGGGGGATGACAGGAATGCCCATAAATCCCTACAAGGAGGTACAGGAGAACAGAGAAGGGTTTTTGCCAGCAGTACCCAGTGCCAGGCTGTGGGACCAACTAGAGGCCAGGATTTCCCCCATCACTTCTGGGCTGAAGGTGGCACGGGGACCATAAAGGGTCTGAGGGCTGCTCTTGGGATCTCCAGCCCCATCTGGGCAGAGGGGGCTGAACACAGCTTTAGGGGCTATGCTGGAGCAGAATGGCACCAGATGGTACCTGAGGTACCTCCAACCTCGACCACTCTGTGATGATGCCTTCTTCCACAGCCAGACAGGGGATGAAGTAGGAGTCCAAGGAGGGGTGGATTGGATTGTCTCTAAAGGCCCTTTCCAGTTCAAACAACTCTATGATTCAAGTAGGCACAGAATCACTCCCCTTCCCTTCTCCTCCTCCTACCAAGCCAGTTTCACTCATCTACCCTCACTCAGGCCATATTGCAAATGGTGTTGGCCACTTCTCAAGGGCCTGATCCTGCTAAAAACAGCCTGTGGGTTGTAAATTCTGCATAGTGAGCAGGTAGGAAGAGCACCTTGTATGGGAGCAACACCCCAGCACCAAACCACATTGAAGCTGGTGGTCATTAATCCACTAGATGCTTTCTTTTATACCCCCAAGAGATGGACAGGAGCACCTATTATCCAAGGAATCATTACAGGTTATGGTATCAATAAGCCATGCAGCAAGGAGGTAAGCCCCAAGAGGGTGGTGCTTTCAAGAGAAGTGCACTCAGTGGAAGGGAAAATCGAAAGACCTTCCCTTCATGGCTGATATATAATAGATTTTTAGAAAAGGAAAAGTCAAACCCAAAGGGAGGAAACTTATCTGAAATGCCATGGGTTTGCTGGGCTCTACCTGAGCTGGTTTCCAAGACTGTAAACACCACTGTTTTTTCTGTCTCAAGAGTCTTAGAAATCAACAAAGGATTAAAACCTTCATTGAAACCTCCTTGCTGGCCATAAGTTGAGATGTGCTATCTGGTCCCAAATGATGATGTTCATCCCAAAGACAGCTGTGCATGGCCTCAGTTCCTAGACACACCTGGAGCTCCTCACTGCAGGGATGATGGCTGGAGAGACATCACATTTATAAATCTTTTTTGTTTGTTTGTTTGTTTTTGCAATGCCTCTTGTGTTTCCTGCTTATGCTTTCTCTGGTTCAGATGGAGAAGAGAAGCATGGCAGAATCCAGCTCTGCAGATGCTCAGTGGGGAGTTCTTGCTGATAGAGCACACATCTGAAAAGCTGTCATCAGAGGGGGAGGTGATCCTGCCTCCAGCATCACAAGTTTCCTATGTCAGTAGTAGGTGGAAAGAGGATCTACTGCAGCAGAACATTCGTAGGTGGCTTTAAAAACCTGATAGACCCTCCATGGTTAAAATCTGGCAGGGCTTCATGGTTGGTGCTGGGCAGAGAAACCTGATCAAAGGAAAAACAAGTCCTAAATGTCTATATTGCAAAATAAAGTCAAAAAGATGCAAAATGTTACTTTAAACCTGGCTTGGCAGATGAGAAGAGTAGCTGAGTCCAAACAGAGCAGAGCAACACCTACTACTTTGTGTTGAAAGCATTGACCTTGATCCATTCCTACCTGAAGGGGTTTGAACTCCTCACTGCCTCAGGAAAGGAGTTCTTATTCGGTCCTTTCACCTCCTCCAGGGAGCAGAGAGGTGTATGCTCCTCAAGTGACTCAGCTCTGGGGTGGGATCATGGGTTCTGGAAGCCATCTCCCCTCCAGCCACAGATCTGGCCACTCTACAGTGATTTCCTCCTCCAGCTAGAAGTGATGCCTTCATCCACAATGAAGGCTCTTCCAGCAATAGGAACACAGATTTTGAAGCAAAGATGACTTGTTTGAATGGTTTCCTTTTTTATTCAGGAGCAAAGCCTCCGAGGGATTCAGTCTGAGCTCCATTCCCCACCTCTTGCTTTACTTCCATGAAATAACTTGTGTGACAAAGCCACCAGTTCCCCCTGTAGCATGCTGGAGATGGCTCAGCATGGGCTGTTGGATTGATCTGGATGCTTAAGATTGCTTTGCCTTGGATCAAGTCACACTAGAGCCAAACCACCTCTCCCAGTTCCAGATATAGATAAAACTGACCCATTCCCCAAGCCAATCTGTCACAACTAGTGTACCCAAACCACTTATAACTGGCAAAAAAACACATCACAAAGTGTTTTCAAACCATTGCTTTTTAATCCATAAAAGGTGAGAGTCCATGTACAAATTAAAAAAAAACAACAACAACAAAAACAAAAACCCCACTGGCGTTAAGAAAAACATCCAACTTGCACAAAATGCAACCCCTTCCAGCAACGCCAACAGAAGGGTTGGGTGATGCGGGAGGAACCACGATGCCCACGCTTCTTTTAAATAAATACATCTCTAGCTCCAAGACATTTAAGTGTTCAGGATGCGTTAAGGGCAAGGCAGCCATTTCCTGTATATCTCACCACTCCCGCGCCGAGCAGCTGGCAAGATTATGCAGAAAATCTGACTGCAGCAGATGGCCTCGTGGTGGCAGCCAGACCCATAATCCTGTCTGACGAGGTCTAGGTTTCGCATCGCACAAAACGGAGAGGATTCTCAAGAAGGAAGGCAGAGCTGGAAGCGCTCCCTCCAGTTCTCCTTAAATAAAATTAGAGCTGAAAGCTTGGCACGTGGGCACGGGGCCACAGAGGGGAAATAGAGGTCAAATCCTGGGGGATGCTATTGCAGCGACGTGTCTCTGCCAACCCGCTCTTGGTTTCATGAATCTCCCACTACGAATTTATCACAACTTAAAAAGTACAAAAATACAATTGCATCTCTGAAGGGTATTTTATACCTACCAAGATCATCCAAGCACTCAGGACCAGACAGCTCTTTAGCTTTCAGAAAACTAATGCATGAGGCAGAAATGAGATTGAGAAAATTTTGCCAATATATCTATGCGTATTCCGAGTCTCCCTGCATTTCCAGTACAATTACCAAGATGCATGTATCCATCAGGCCAGCTCTGGTACGAATGCTGACAGCACAGTGTTAGGGTATTAGCAACGTGTGCAAGATCCAATACTAGCACAAATTTAGTAGTTTAATAATCTGGAGGAGCTATCTTCCTGGAATTTTAATCTCATACCAAGTAAGAAACAAGGCTCTTAGCTATTAATCTACTCACATATTTAGGGCAATCCACCTCTACTGATTAAAAAAACAAGACAACAAATGCACGTTAAGTCTTTCCCTTTTCTTCCCAAGAAGCAGGTTGTACAGCCAGGCTGTGTTTGCTGGGCAAGCCTGAGTTCCCATTAAAAAAAAAAACAAAAAAAAAAAAACCTGCACAAGTGCCCCAGTTCAGCACAGCACTAACTCATGCTCTTATTTCTATCTTAGCTGGCCTAGATGCGACCAACTCTATGCTATTTGCAAAACTCAAGGGAATGTGTAGCCCAAACTCTGCCCTTCTGCTGATAATCTGATGGAAGACCTGATACATTGCCAGCTGATGATAAAGACATGGTTAATGCCATCCTAGTTTGCTGGGACACCCCTAAGCTGTATCACAGCAGGGATAGAATCGTGGAATTGTTTGAGTTGGAAGGGACTTTTAAAGGTCATCTAGTCCAGCTCCCCTGCAAAGAATAGGAATATCTACAGCTCAACCATGTTGCTCAGAGCCCTGTCCAGCCTGACCCATACATGCAGCTCAGTGCTGCCTAACAAGAGGCAGGTCTGAGCTGGACCCCAAAACATACACAGTGCACATCACTGGTGCCTGAGCAAAACCCTTTCCCAAAAATAGAGGAGTCAAACATCATCTCCACTTGCCCTGAAGGGTTCTGTTAACATGAAGCTTGCAAAACAAAACCCTTTCCATCTTCTGGATGCTTCTGAACAACTTGGCTCCACCAGTAGTAAGTGGTACGGCGGCAGTGCTGCCTTCTACCTTGCAGAGAAAGCCTGAGAAACGCTAGAAAAGGTTATAGCTTTTGCTTTAATGGCTGGGTGTGGTTTGGCTGCTCCTTGTGCTGAGCAGAAGACACAAACCAGTCTCTGCTTTATCCTGAAGCACAGTTTCCCCCGACCCCTTAAGAGCAAAAAAAAATAATAAATCAGTGTTTCCCCATAGAGTTTAACACAGGAGAAGGAGGAGTCTGGCGATCAGCAGCAACAGTGGCTGTGCATTCCTCACCTCTTTGGAGAGGATTTGATCAGCAGTGCATCCCCAAGGAGGAGGGTCCCAGCATCCTCTGGACCAGGGATGCTCCAATGCGGCCACGACACCAGCACAGCCCATAGAAGCAATCAGAGCTCCTGAGGATTAATAGGCAACCAGCCCCAGAGCTCACAGGACACAACCTAGCCTCAGTACATGGCCTCGTTGTCTCCCACGGCAGTGAAGGGGATGCTGTAAGTGCTGTTCTTGCTCCGCTTGCTCTTCTTGTTCCAGACAAGCAGTGTGCTGGCGCTTTTGCTATTCATCAGGCTCTTCCGGCTGTTCTCCTTGTTGCTTTTCAGCAGACCACTGCTAGAGGACATTGCTGCTGCTTTCTTCTCCACCTATTTGGGGAGCAGAGATGAGTAAAGGCAAGGCAGCACTGAACTGGGGCTGTAAACACAATGCTTGGGTCTCAGCCCTGCCCCAGGGCACTGGGAAACCTCTGTGTGCTGCAGAGCAGCTTGCTTTTCTTGAGGTTAAGAGCAAAATGGAGATTTCCACCTTTGCAAGCTGCTACCTGCTTTGTATTTGCCAAGCTGGTTGCAAACTAACGTGCTGCACACTGGAGACAGAGCTAAGCCTTAAGCAGATAATAGCCCACCTCACCCCCCAAAACTTCAGCTTCCCATCTGAGGCTCAGAATGTGACTTACAGCTTTTGGCCCCTCTGAGCCCTGCAGGGTTATCACTCCAATCTCCACACCCTCCTCCCCAGTGCTCTTCAGCAGCTGGACCACTTCAGCATGCTTGGACCACCTGCAATCCTTGCCATTCACCAAGATGATATAGTCACCCTCCTTCAATCCAGCTTCCTGCAGGGGGAAAAGAGGAGAATCACCCATTTTTGCTCAAAGATAATACAGCATGAGGCCTGATTGCTTTCCTCCCCATCCAGCAGGTCACAATCTTGCAGAAATACAAGGCGTGGGGAGGGCAGGGTATGGCCTGCAGCATGAAATACTCAAAGCCATCATACTAATGATTTTTACAGCTGTTTTGAGCTCACAAACGTGGTGGTGGCCACACTCAGTATCCAGCATGCAATGAACTCCCAAGCTCTCTGATAAGAGCATATCCACCTTCAACTTAGGTTAAATGTTATAGGTCTACAAAATAAAAAATTGGTGCCTGCAAGCTTTAACCCTTAGGAAAACAGAGCAAACTTAGCAAGGTCCTATGCACTCCTTCCATGTGTCAGGAATCAACAAAGCACTTGAAGTGCTTAAAGCAAAGCATGTGCCAGGCTGTAGCTGTGGGGACATTACAGTCAGGAGTAACCCAGAGTAAGGACATGCTTGCCTAGACACAATGGAGGTTTAGTAACTTATCCACATGGGAACACCCACATTTTGGTGTCTATCTGGAGTGAAATCCCACCCCAGATCAGTGCAACGAGTATTGGTAGTGCAGGGTACACACTGCAGTTTAGATCTGCTTTAAAAAGCTTTCCATCACTCTCAAAGGGATGCAATCCTGCTGCTAAGGAGCCTGTTATTAAGGAGATTCTAGGATCTGGGTGGCACAGAGGATGCAGCACAGTGATGAGGGATGGGGGGGGGTCCACCCAAGCATCCCACCAGGATGCTTCAAGAAAGGTTCTGCCAGAAAACAGCCTGATCCACTGCAAAGCTCACACAGTGAGTCTGCACAGCACTCATTTGTGTTTAACATCATGTTCCATCCCATGTCACATCCCTCAGTGGGGGGATTTCCCCACCTCAAGCACCCCCCATGAGGATAGCAGAGCTTGGAGTACTCACAGCAGCACAACCTCCCGGGATGACACCAGCGATGAGGACAGGGGAATCTCCTCGCAGTGTGAACCCAAAGCCATTCTCTCCTCTCATCAGATGGACTCTCCGCATTGGGTACCACTTGTTTTTGGCCGAGAAAACTGAGAGGGGCCCCTGGGGTAAAGCAGAAACGACAAAAGCACCTTTCAGTGCAAGAGCAACTCAATGGGAACATACAACCTTTGATGGAAAAGAGGCAGAACAAGATAGCTGTCCTTTGCACTTCTTTGATAATGCAGTTATGAGCCTGCCCAGTGCTTTACCATGCCTGCATGTCCAAAAACCCAGGACATTTATAGCCAGTAAAGCTAGAGGAGCTAAAGGCACTTGTAAGATGGCTTTGTGAGCAGCAGTCCAGAATAGTGCATGTTGGAAAGGACCTCAGTCCTTCTTTCCTATTCTCTTAGAAGCAGCCTAGGTCACGGTTCTATGACATCGTCCCTGCAAGGCAGGAGAAAGTCTCATCAAGATCGGGGAGTTGGCATCATTTCAGACACTGAAATCCTTGAAGAAATGAAACAGAAAGCTTCGATGCAGAGCTGGCTCCTTAACTCCCTGCTTCTGGAACTAAAGGGAGGGATGAGACAGAAGATGTCTTCACCTCAGCATTGCTCTGGGAAACAGAGCCAGACTGGAGTGGTCAACAGCAGGGCACAAGGCATTGGGATGGGTCACACTTTCAGAGTCAGACCACTCCAAAAATCTTTCCTGTTCTCCCAGAAGCAGGATATACCTGCCTGCCTTCCACTCAGGTTGCCCGAAAACAGAAGTGCTGGTTACATCCCAATCAACTCATCCTCTCCTCAAGGTGCTACATAGGCTTCAGATGCCTGGGGGATAGGAATAGTGCAGTCACTGCAGCCTCCAAGGCAGCCCCAAAGCTCAGCTTTTCTCCCCAGGACCCCATTAGCCCACGAATGGCAGAGACAAAGGACCTGATGGGATCTTCCTACTGGTCCCTAGCTGGTCAACATCATGTATCTAAGATAGAGCAGCGTTACCCCTAGGGATAACACTACCCTCAACTTGCTCTGCTCCCCTAAATAGCCCAAAACCCACCCAAAACACCCATGCCTGCTTCCCCATGCATTGGAGGAGCTTCACAATAAAATTCAAGGTGGATTTTGGAATCTGGCTAAACCCATTTAAGTCTATGGGGATGGACCCACGCTCTCCCATCCTTTCTCCTGCCCAGGTCCTTTCTACAAGGAATTGACTCGTCCTTCTCAGAGAGCAGCTGTGCCAGGAAGAAAGCAAGCAGGAAAACAGAGCATGCAGGGGAGGAGGTGGCATCTGCTCCTGTGGGGCCACCCCATCTCAGAGCTATACGTACCAGCCTGTGGAAGAGATCTGTCACCTTCACCTGAGAGAAGCTGGGTGATTTGATCTCCGGCTTCTGGTGCGTTTTGGCTAACGGAAGGGGGAGAAAAGCACATTCAGCAGGTCAGGAAGGAGCCAAAGTGGCAGCTGCCGCCTCTCCATCCTGCTCCCCACATAACAGAAGTGCAACCCATAAAAACCCACAGCACACTGAAAACCACTTACGGTGAATATCCGGGGCATCTCCAGTTTCAAAAAAATCCTCCTCGTGGTCAATTTCTGAGTATTTGCTCAGCGAGCGCTTGTGGGCAAAGGAGAGGACCTCCTGGAGGATGTCCATCTTCCGTAGGATCTTGCACAAGCCGTGGATCCTCATGGCTTCCTCGTGCTTCATGATGGCTTTCTTTAGGTGAGCTTTGCCTGCGGAAAGCGGAGAGATGGCAGCCCAAGAGCTCAGCACCGTTCCGAGCCCAGGCTCTGTCGCTCGCTCGGCTGCCCACGGATTAAAGCAGCCTCCGCGGCTGTGTCACCCGACGTGACTCAGGGACGGCCCCGTCACGTTTGCAGCCTGCCAACGGGCTTTAAATGGAGTAGGTCCCAGCCGTCAGCTCAAGCCCCCAATGGAGGGCTGGGAAGGGACCTTGAAGGGTGACCTACTTCACTCCTCCGAGTGAATCCGGAGATGGGCTGGCAGATGTTCCCAAAAAAATTACTGATGATGCTGCCGTCACCCGGAGAGGGAGGCTGGCACCACCGCCCCCAAAGTTCCTCCTATTGCTTAACCTAAATCTCTGCGTATTAACTTCTTTCCATTGCCTCGTGTCCCTGGTGGGTACAGAGGACAATTGAGCCCTGTCCTCCTGGTGACAGCACTTTAGCTTTGGGGAGATCTGCTGCAGATGCCTCTTTTCTAGGCTAAGCACATCCTTCACCATGCCCTGATGATCCCTTTTGGTGCCCTTTCTCAATTTCCACTTCTCAATTGGCCGTGAAAGTATTTTCAACTTTGCGAGAACAAATTGTGAAGAGAGCAGCCAAAGAAATCCCAATGACCTGCAAATAAATGAATATCCTGCAAACAATCTCTTTGCAAGAGACTGCGACAACGGTACACATATCCAATGTAAGCTAAAGAAGACACAGAAATATATATAGAGAGAGGGATGTATCATAGATACATGTGCACCTGCAGCATTTCCACCTTTAGGACACACGGTGGCAACATAAGCCAGGGAGATGATGGAGCTCACTCAGAGAGAGGGACTACGTTTGCTCTGTGCAAGACATCAATCAAGGAAAGATTTTGAGGCTGGATGAAAAACAGAGGAATGGGCTCTCCAAAATAATCTTACTGAATGCATCAATCATATTCTATGCTAGCACCCACAACCAGCCTCACTCCTGGGCAAGAAAGTGCTACACTAAGTAGGTTTTAATGACTTGTCACTAACTCCTGCATTTACACTGATGAACAAATAGATAAGAGCATGGAAGATACAGGTCAGGAATGGAAGTTGTGCAAGCTTTTGGCTCCAGTTTATTGTAACTGGTGGAATAAGACACAATGTTCTAAGACCATGAGACAACAGAAGGAGAAAAAATATCACTCCAGGGAGATGGTTATAATGCTGCAAGTTTATTCCCTTCCTACAGACCAAAATTAGAGCTGAAGTTGATGTCTGCACATGAATTTTTCACAAGCCAACAATGAATGGAGACTGCTTGGAAAAAGAAGACCAAAAGGCAGCTTGTGGAGGAGGCAAGCAGAAGATGACACCCCAGAAGCAGGGCACTGAGCTTGCTCTCACTCCTGCCTCTTTGCTAAAACATGACTTCAGCTGAATAAGCAACGCTGTGTCTCTTCCCTGAAGCTGAAAATTTGCGTGGGAGGAAGCTCTCCCAAGCCTTTTGATGCAGTAGCAAAAAAAAAAAAAAAAAGAAGCCACCCCCAGCCTTCACTGCTTCTCCCTGTCAAGCTGCAAGCTTGAGCCAAGCTCCTTTGCAAAAGCACCAGATCCCCATGGATTTCTCTGAGCTGCATTGCGTGATGTTACCTGTCTCAAGCACCTGGGGTTTTACTGTTAAACTTGGTGAAATGTGTCAATACAAGTACCATGAGTTGTCCTCAACATCTTAATAGGGAACACCGTAATGCTTCGCTGCCTTCCCAGGAAAGGTTCTTTTCAACAAAAGGTGTTTTTGCATAGAGAAAGTCCTGCAGAAGTTCATCACTAGAAGCTCAGGGGTGTTGATAGTAGACAACCTTTGAGGTCCCTTCCAACCCAAGCCATTTTATAATTCCATGAATACCATTCCCAAGAGGATTCAGGGTTTCACTCCCCAAACCTGGCTGTTTGCCCCTGTGGATGTGCTCACCCAGCTTCCTTCTCTCCTCAGGATCCTGCAGTAGAACACGAAGTGATGGTCCCTCGGGCATGGTGATGTGGAACTGGAGAAAAGCCTTCTCATGCTCTGGCAGCTCAGCATCAGATGCCGCTAACAGAAAAAAAACAGGGATGTAGAAAAAAGTCAGGACATTGTTCCAAGCACTGCAGCAGGCTTGATTTCTATACCATTATTCTCATCCAAAGCTGTTCCCTGTCTCCTTGGCTTATATAGCAATCTCCTCTCCTAGGCACAAGCAAGTAAGAGAGCCCTGTGGTCTTGCTGGTCCAAACTGTAGGAGATGCCAAAGCCCTGTCAGCATCCCTGGCATTAGTACTGAGCATCTCCAGGGCTGGCCTGTCCTATTCCCATACCCACAGCAGCATAAGGAGCTTATTGCCAGCCATCTGGAGGAGCAAAGGATTCACTATTCTTGACCAGAGTTCATACTTGGAGATATAGAGAGTGGGAACATGAGATCTCTGCAGGGTGCTGGTGCAAAACAAACCCCCTGACTCAGGAATCTCCTGCAGATTTGTGCTCCCTCCACTGTCTCATGTTATTTGGACAGGCAAAGAGCTTCAGAAGAGTTTGCCCCATCCCTTGTAACCTCATGCAAACCTGGTTCCATCACATCCTTCTGCCACTTCTGTCCTCATCCCCATGGCATCCCACCCTCTTCCATCTCCACCCCAGCAGCTGTCCTTGCTCAATCCTGTTTCTTCACAAGCCCAGCAGCTCGGTGATATCAAGCCCTGCAATACTCCCAGCCTCACGGCAGTACTGTGAATGCTGCTTTTGGCCAAAAACATGAAATCTACTTTAGAAGAAGACCTTCAGGAGCCCTCCAGCTCTGTCCTTAGCACGTGGTGGCTCATCACCACAGGTTCCTGCATGCATCAGCTGCCCGCCTCCAAACCCTCAGCCTGACACAAAATCAATTGTATGGGACCATGGTGACAGCACAGATGGAGATTATAGGTCACATCCTGCTTCCACGTTCCAGCTGGTTCCCCATAGCCACGTCAGCTAGCTCTGGTACAGCCACACCGCACGCACACACTCAAGGCAGCCATCCATAAGGCTGGCAAGTAAATTCAAATAGCCCAGGGATTTCTTGGTTTGAGTTTATTGCTGGTTTTTTTTCATTAAGTCCTTTGCTGGTCCAACATATAGTTAAGTGGGTCTGAAGGCTGCTTGGGTGGGAACACGCACCCAGAACCAAGGGGGACAGCAGGTGACAACTGTATAGATCTTTTTTGGCTGGCCACCTTGGAAGGACTTTGCAAACACCATGCAAATCATGAACAGAAATATGTGGACATCTGCACTGCGTACAAATTAGTGAATCCATCAATGTGGTCAGCAGCTCAGAGCATCCCCAAAAAAATCTAGGCATGGGATCCTATGCAAGATTCCTTTCAATTCTTTCTCACAATGCCCCCCCAACAGCAGGCTGCTACACAGAATCAGAGAATTATTTAGGTTGGAAAAGACCTCTAAGATCATCAAGGCATGAAGATAGCACTCAGCTAAGCAGCTGTTTCTGTGCCACAGCACTCACCTGGGCAGTCACAGAGAGCAATGGCAGCAAAGTAGTGGGACAAGGCTTTGAAATGCTCTGACTTGACATGGACCATGGTGGTCCATGAGAAGGGAACATAATCCTTCACATGAGCCTGGGTCATTGTCTGGTGCACCAGCAAGTAGACATCTTCCACCTGCGGGTGTCAATGCACAAATAGGTGATGTACAGGTTGGAATCTAACATGTTCATTGGGTGGGAGTGACAGCATGTTGTCATTCCTCTTAGGGACTCTGGGGATCTTTCTGGGGTGCTCTTACCCTGGCTGCCTCCTGAGCAAGCTGCAGCCACGTGAGGAAGTCCTTCTGAGCATGCAGCAAGGTCACCTTCTCAAAAACACACTCCTGGACTTGGGCGACCATCAGCCTCACCAGCATGTTGAGGGAAGCAGTGCTCATGTCCAGGCTGGGAGCATTGGAGAAGTTTTCCTTCAAGTAGTTAAAGGCACCTGTATAAGGAAGAAGATGCTGGGAGCTGCTAGGTTTACAGGTGAGGACAATTTGGAGCATGAAGGTTTTTCCAAGAAAGGTTGTGGAGTTTCCTGTTTGGAGATGCTCAAAAGCTACCTGGATATGGTCCTAGGCAATCTGCTCTAGGTGGTCTTGCTCAGCTTAGAGAGGTTGGACCAGATGGACCAAGAGGTTCCCTCCAACCTCAACCATTTGGGGATTTTGAGAGTGATACAGGAGAAGAGCAGCCACCAAGAACAGCCCAGGATGCTCACGCAGATGGGCTGTGCATTTCAAATATCTTACCATAACAGACAATGCTACTGCAGCAAATAAACTCTAGAGGTGCTACCTTGCTTCTTAACCCATTCTTGTCCCTGCAACTTTTTTCTCACACCTTTGGATGACAGCAATCCCTTAGAGATTCCTCCAACTCTCTTTGCACAACTGAATTCCCCTCCTTCACATCATCCCTGCCATAAAAGATTATTAGCCTTGCTCTGACCACCACCCAGAGGTGAGGAAGGAGACAGAGAAGGAAAACCCACATACCAGCTGCCTTCTGAAAGGCATCAATAGCCTGGTTGAGCCCTGGCAGGGAGGCACGGTCCTGCCGTGCCCCTATCTGGGTGTGCAAGGCTCCGATGTTGAAGAGGACACTGCCTTTCTCAAAGGCCAGTGCCCGCTGGTGGGATGGAACCCCAGTCAGTGAGTCGTACCTGGAAAAGGGAAGAGACAGAAGGGATGAGAATATCAAGGCCATCAACCATCGCTCCCACCTAATCACAGAATTTTGAGTTAGTAGGAACCTTTAAGGTTCAACTAGTCCAAGATGACCAAGAATGGACATTCAGAACTTTCTGCATTTTGTACAGACTCTCTTCCCACCACCATGCACCCTCAGAGCCTCAATTTCCTCTATATCCTTCAATAGATCCATCAAAGGCAACATCCTCAAGCCAAAAGCATGAATGCAACCCAGCTCTTGACTCTGATGGAGCTCAGAGGAAAGATGAACCCCAAAGAAAACCCAGCACAGCAGAGGAAGCCCAGCCCTGCTTCCCCTCCCCACTCCCCATTAGTAATGATGCATGGATGGGAAAAGCTGCACCAACCAGTGGAAGAAGACACCCAGGCTTTTGCTGGGAGGGAAGAAACGGCTGTCGAGGAAGTAGAGTTGGTTATAATACTCCATGAGGAGCTCCAGTCCAGCCTCATTCCGGCTGGGGGTACGCATTGCCTGCAGGGATGGGAGAGAGGAAAGAGACATGTTGGGAGGAAGAGAGTAGAATGGGAGGGAAAGATGAGATTTACGGAGCTGCACATGCTGGTCAACCCTATGGACTGTAGCCCAGGTGGGAGAAATCCCATCCAAAAGGCTTTGTGGGCAGGATGGCAGGGGATGAGGGGAATGGCACGGAGCTGAGCTCCTCTGGACCACCCTAACACATGCAGGCAAGGGGCAGGGTTGTATTAATGCTGAAAAAGAAGCTTTATTTCTGTGGCTTCTCTGTTTTTCAGAAGGTTGAAAGGAGGCAAACCCTCATGCAACTGATGGTTTGGCTGGGGAGACACTAAATTGGGGCACCCAGATCAGAGGCAGCAGCCTGGGAGCAAGGGATGAGCCAGGCATGCTGGTGGCAACACTCATCTAAACCAAGCTGGGATTTGACTTTTTTTTTTTTTTTTTTTTTTTAAAAAGAGAAACTCATGCAAAGTCTGATGGAAATAGTGCTAGGGAAGAAATAAGACTTTTCCCTCAAAACAGATAAATCCTTGGGCTTTTGACTCGAGACAGGGAGGAGTGCCAGAGCTCTCCTAGTTTCAGTCACGAGTCTTTTCCCAGCTTGTGGCTTTCCAGGGCACCACTCCCACAGCCCAAAGAACAGGATCAGGACCTTCATAAAGCCTGAGAAAGCCTTTTCTTTCCGCTCTTAAGATCAAAGCTTCATGGCAAGGCAAAACTGAGGTTACTTATGAGAGCTGCTTTGTAGGAGAGAATAAAGTTCACCTTCACCGGATTGCTCTACACTTCCTCTTCTCCAAGCACTACGCTGCGTGTTAGCTGGAGAGAGAGCAGTCATTTAGCCTTGCCAGGGGTGAACTATTCATAAAACAACAATAACGGATGGCATGGTATTTTTATTGCTGTTCATTCTAGGTTATCAGGTCATTAAAGGACTCCATTACGGAGACAGAAAACAATTACCAAAAGGTCTGTAATATTTTTGTAATTTCTGAACTGAAGCCAGGGATGCAGCACCCTGAGACACAAGGACAAGGGTGCAGTTTGCAGTGAGCACTGAGGTACCCAGAGCAAAATACAGCACCTCCAAAGGGTATTTCTTGACAAATCAAAGTAAGGTTTTGCATCTTAATGGACACCGACCTGCCTCAGCTCCATGAACTCCTTGATTTCTTTTTCAAACATGACACCCTCCTCTCCATAGTGCTCACTGATGAAATCCTGGATGGGGAAAGAAAACAAAAACCTGAATAAACATTAGAAATAAGTATTCAAGATTTAAAGGGTGTCTTGTCAGCTCCCCTTGCAAGAAAACTTACAGTATGGAAAGCAATCTCCCCACTCAGCTCTTCCTCTCCACTACAACAGAAAATACATTCCTTTCCCCATTGCTTCAGACCCCCATCTCCCTTTTCCCCCCCGTTTTCTCCACCTAAATATATTTGTTATAATTGTTCCAAAACTGAACTGATGTAGCATCTTCACCACAGCTCCCAATCATAAGCAAGTGAAGAAACATCCCTACAGTGCAAGTCTGCACTCCTCCATCCATCTTCATTTCATCTCAAGTACAAACTCACCTTTAGTGGCACCAGCAAATCCAGCTCCTTCGTCTCTTTCAGGCCCAAAGGAATCATGGGGACACTGATGGACTCACTGGAAGAAGACAACAAACTCTTTGATAGATGTTTTCTTGAAGAGTAAAACTAGAAGAGAACTCAATTTTGCCCAGCAGAGGGATGTGCTTTGCACTGAGATACGCACAGAAAACATGCTGATAACCTCAAATCTGCCATATTACTTAAATTTCTGCTTTTATCTCTGACAGATACAACAGCAACCACATCAGGCTGCAATGATGAAGCTGCTTTAATTAACAGCTCTTGAGAAATGGGAGTGATGTGTGCACAGGTCATGGATTCACTAGCTCCTACGTGCTAATCTGGGCTTTGTCACTGATAAGGACTTGCTGATAAGGACCAGCTCAGGAGTGCAGCTCCACCTGATATTGAAATTTGCTGCCTCTATTAAAAGCAGTTGGCTATTAATAGCACTTATCGCACTGCCAGGTCAATACAGTAAAATGCTGAAGATTAGGATGACATTGGTAACACCCAGCTGGGAGTGGTTTGTTTTCCAACAGTAAAGCAGAGCATTTGCACAGAACTGAGGGAGGATCATCTTTTGTGGGATTTTATTGCTACTTTGATATTTTTTTTTGCAGCCAAGAAGTGATGGTCTCCAAAGGCCTTGAGCATGCATAAAATTACCATCTTCTTGCTCAGCAAAAACTTTCAAATTGGTCCCATCCTCTGCTTCCTGTACACAGACATCAGGTGAGAATCCTTGATGGGTTCCCAACTTGCACTGGGTTCCCCAAAATGCAAGAAGGGAGGCAGGTCAGGCAGGATCAGGCCCTTAACAGACCAGATTTGCACAACAGCCATGTCTCATTATCTTCAGAAACTGCACATTAGCAGAAACATGGATTAGCACATCACAGGCCAAGGAGGGTTAAACTGGGGAGCAGGGGTTGCGCCCACACTTTGGTCTATTCATACTGAATAAACAGCTTCAAGAGCTATAATTAGAGCAGAAAAGCCATTATTGCTCATTCTCTAACAAGATTTCTATTTGAATCCAATGCCCAGAGCAAACAAAGGGGCTGTTGTCTGGCTTGGGCAAGGTTTGGGGGTTGCTGCTGCTGTTGTTTCCTTTTTGAACCAAAACAAACAAACACTTGGGCAGAGCTCAGGGAGGATGCTTGCAATCCTGGGAGTCCAAACTGCAATTTTCCATCACTAGCCCACTGCTGGGGAAGAGAGAAAACATCCAGGGTCATGCAGGGATCAAAGGCCACAGGTAAGATCTCCTTAAGCCTCCTCTTCTCCCTGCAACCCTAATGCATCATTCACACATCCAGATTGTCCTTGCTCTGCATTTAGCAGAAGTGCAGCAAACAGGATGGAGTCAGTGATGCTGTCTGCAGCTCTTTCTGTTCCAAGAAGCAGAACAATCCTCCCAAAGGAGGACCAGACAATGAGAAAAGCACACGGATGTATGGACACCATCCAGCTGTTTTGAACAGGGGAGGAACATCCATAGCTTCACATTGCTGCAGCATCCTTGGCCTTTTCTGCTTTCATGATTTCTGCTTTCCTCACCTCCTTGAAATGGCTCCAATGAATCAAGCATGAGGTGACTGAGTGAGCATTTCAAAGCAACAGAAACTCTCAATTAGCAAAAGGTCTAACCTCAGAAAGAGGGGAAAAAACCTAATACCCTTGTTGGGAAAAGAAACCACCCCAGGATCAACTAGAACAAGAAACTGGGTACAGTTTTAACTACTTCTGTTAAATATCCCACTGGAAATCATCAGGCTCTGGAAGGATGCTCAGGATGAGGAGACCAGGTAAAGGAAGATTGATGGTTGTTTCTGCTCTACTCGTCCTGCTTTGGGATATTAGAATCTAAAGGACACAACCACCCACACAGAAACGCCTCCTAAAGGATCTGCTAAGAAAGGTGTTGAAATTGGTCACCTTGCAGTCTTGTAGATGAAGCACAGATGGATGCTCTCTGCCTGAAAAACTCTTTCTGGCCAATCTGTCCCATGCCCCAGTCTTCTATTCTCCGGTCATCACCCAAGCAAAACCCCCTACCTGTCATTCTGGTAGACATCCATGCAGCTGTTTAGCTCCTCCAGCTCCTCCTTCAGCAGCTGCAGGTTGGAGTTCACGTAACTCAGCTCCAATGCAACCGTCTCCTTGACCTTGTGGTTACTGGTGGCTCTGAAAAACAGCACTACACGGATCAAATCTCCCTGTAAAAGCCTGGCTGAGTCAAAGAACAGCAACTAAGTCACCACCTGGTGTGATACCATTACATCTTCCCTGCGACATACATCCATCCAAACCTTCCTGGCTAACTATTTCCATCCAATTCTTCATAAAGCAGAGAAAAATTTTAGTTCTTTGCATTCTGTTGGGGATGCCGACTCTGTTTCTCCCCTAGAGCAACCCATATGACTTGCACTCTCAAGCAGTATCCCTCATGAGCTCCATCCATGCTCCTACCTCCAGCACATCCTTGGATTTGGTTATAAGCACTCAGGTGTTTGCCCACACCAAACAAAAGCTGTGCTTCATGCTTAGACCTCCACTTACAGCAGAAAAACTTCTTTGTGTGTGCAAATAACCATTCCGCAAGAGCCAGGTTTGCCATTAGCAGCACCCTCCCCACCCTTCCCCCTCATGCATGTCAAGAGATGTAAATACAGAGGATTGATTTCAGCTGCAGCAAGCTGCCTGCTCTCAGCAAAGCAAACTCCCAGGCTGATTATACCCTCCTTATCTGCTCCAAACTAAAGCAGGGAGAGATAACCCAGTGGCCAGACAAAGCCAATGGTGAGCAATTGTTGGCTGAAAGGGACTCTGGCTGCTTGCCCTAAATCACACCAAGCCCCACTGGGATGCAGTAAAAATGCCACGTGCATGAGCTCTGCTTGCACTTACCCCCAATTTTTGCAGAGCACATTGCTTTTGTTTATTATTGACATCATCCTTCAGGGCCCTTGCTCTGATTTAAGGAGCTATGCTGCTTTTCTTTCAAGACGATGGCTCCTTAGTCTCCTCCTCTGTACCTCCAGGACAGTTTTGTTTGCTACCAGGTTTAGAACAAACAGTTTTAACCCCGGGGCTCTCCATTTTGCACCCTACAAGTGCTTTTTGCAGCACAGCACCTCTCAGAGAGGTGATTTTGGGAGCAAACAGTTGTTTACCAGTAGCAGAAGGAGGAAATCTATGCTGATAAAGGCTTTGGTATTTTCAGGCTTACACATTGATCTCTAGAACAGCACACAAAGTAGAATGATCAGCTGTTTGCTTAGCTAACGTTGAACAAAAATTTCCGAGTTATTTAAAGAAAAATAGGTTTATTGGCAACACCTTTATCTTCCCTGCATCCCAGTATTTGAACAAGCAAAGAGTTTTCACTGCTAATTTATTTATCCAGCAAAAAAAAAAAGAAAAAAAGAAAAAAACACAAGAACCCCATAATGCTGAGCAAACACCACATGCATTTTTGCCAATGTGCCATTCATGGCAACTTCTCCAGGAAAGGGAATTGATATGCTGAACTGAACAGCTTAAAACTACATTGAGATTTATGGTGCTCTTTTTTTTTTTTTTTCCAACTAAGAACAGAGAGGAACTGCAAACTTCACTCCAGGCTGAGCATAGCACTGTTTCTCTGTTTCTTCTTTGCATAGGTTTTGTTAGGTCAGTCCAAGTTGAGTCTAAAGAGGTTGCTGCTCAAAACCTATTATGATCTTCCCCTCTCAGGCTTTAATTTAAGGCACAATCTGCATTTTCTCCCCCTCCATGTTTACAAACTCCAAAAGCCCCCTCCCACCTCCAAATCACACATCAGCTGCAAACTAGATTGGAGGGAAAGTGGGAGGAAGGAAACATCACTGCTACCAAAGCACATCCAAACCGCTGATCCAGGCAAAAAAAAGGGCCCCAACAGTGCATTTTGCCTCTGCCCTGCAGGAAAACAATCCCTCCCTTCCCTGGACAAGTAATTAATATGGCTTTTGCATCATATTTTTGCTCACTCCCTGGTGAGGGAGGAGGCAGAACAGCTCTGATGCAGGCACTTCACACCAAAACCACAGCTGGGCACATTTTCTGCTGAGGCTGCGCAATTCCAGGGAATTTCTTTTTTTCTTAATAACAGAAGGTGAGGCACGTGGAGTGGCACATAGAGATGTCACGGACTTTTTTTAATTAGATCAGTTATGGTCTTTCAGGGCCTCATACCTCACTGTCCCCAGGATCCCATCTTTCAGGGGATCCCTGCTGTTCTCAGCCACCTGCCAAACTCCATTTCTTGCTGTGGTAGAACATTGATAGCTCCTTTCTTTCAGCTGCACATATCACTGACATCAAATCACCCCGCTCCAACAGGAAAAAAAATGTTTATTTTATTGGAAAGGGTGGGAGGAACAACACTAAGAATCACAAGATAACCATGAAAAAAGCAGTCTTCATAAAAGAAGACATCTTAACAAGCCTACACACCTGCTCAGATTTATTACAGGAACCTGATACATACACTAAAGCTATAAAGAAGGTCATCTACAGGTTAAGAAGACAGTAGATGTTTTATTTTTCTAAAAACATCACGCTATTGCATCATGACTTCATCACGACCCCTCTTCAGGAATGGCAATAATGTGCTGAACCAGCTGTGACCTGAATGCCATGCAGAGGCAGCAGTTTTTGCACCATCCCATAAAGGCATCCTCACAGCAGGATGGAGAGCTGCTGGGCTGTGTCTGTATGCAAAGGAATGCTTTTCCAACAGATTTTCCTTGGGTGGAATTACTGGGACAGCTTTTTTTCTCCTCTTTTAAATAAAGCTGGATTTGACCCACTTACTGGGGGTATCATGCAGGATATCTGCACTCAGAGCTCAATCCCAGTTCAACATTTGTTCCCATAATTGCATCCATTCCCGGCCTGCTTTCTAACAGGCTTGCAGGGCATTAAAACAACCACTTTTCATTAACCCACATTGCATCAGCATTGCACTGAACACGGGGCAGGCATTTCCAGGATGAGAGCTGCAAAGCTCAAGCAAGGTACAGCCATGGGAGCCCTAAGCAAGCATTACTGGGGCAAAAAACAGCTGTTTAGTGACTGATATACACTTGCAGACAAGCTCATAGTGGTTTAAACAAAAAACCTTGTGCAAGCAGGAGATGAAACTGCCTCTTAGGGGAGGGGAAAAGGTTGAAAAACATGAAGAAAAAGCAGCTGATAATCCAAAACCATTCCTTTTCTGCAAGCAGCCTGCAGGTGCTTCCTGGACAGTTTTATACCCCCTTCTCTATATAATGAAATTTCATTTCCACCCCCCTGCCAAATCCCTGGACTAGATGGATGCTTCAGGGGCCAGGACTCACCTGAAAAGGTTTTCAGCCCCAGCACGCATCCTCATCTCCTTGTTGATCTGCTGGTTGATCCGTGCCCGCCGGTGCTGCAGCTTGCTGCGTTGGGTCTGGGCAAATGGATCACAGCCCTGCTGAGAGAAAGAGTGAGGATCTCACCATGGCATCGTGGCAGCTGGCTGCTCCATCCCCTGCTGCTCTCATGCGTGGTCTTGCATCACCCCATTACTGCTACATACACAGAGACTTTGGGCTTGCTCAGGGCTGATGCTCTCCAACAGCCATTATTAGAGGATAAAAATCACATCAGTGATGCCAGGGGCTGCAGGCTTGCAAAACATTTGCTTGATCTGCAGCAGGGAAAGTTCAGATTTGGTGCGTGCTGCTAAGCCTGGGAATGGACTAGCATTGCAGGAGACAGCAGAGCCACTTGAAAAATGTTATTAGCTAACACCTGTTGCGTACAGTAAATTTGTTTTCTAAGCTATTCAGAAAAGGCTTCTTAAGTACTGCAGTGAAGGGATACAGGAATTAAGCATCTCCTTACTAAGGACTTGCCATCTGGACACAATATAAGTGAAAAGAGCCGTCCTGGGGGGTGCAGACAAGCTCACATAGCATCACATCTGTTCCTGAGCTCAAGGGCTACATCTGTAAGTGCTACCATCTCCTGTTGACTACAGGGGATCAAGAGGAAGCAAGTCAAAAGTTCACGGGATGGAGATGCAAGTTGCACAAAGCAATAAATTCATTCCATCCCTGTCTCCTACATGAGCTTCTGCTCAGACTTCCTGCAGATGGGGAACACGTTTAATTGCTGGCTTCAGGAAGCAGCAGATGGCAACATCCCTGCATCCCACAGGGACAGAGGTTACTACACGATGCTCCAGGCAGAAGGGAGGCCACAAAGAGCATCTCTGAATCCACAACCACAAAAGCTCTGTCCAAGCAGAGATGATTTTTGTTGTGCAAGAAAGATACCTGGGTAAATTTCTCTGGGAAATTTAAGAGGGGGGGGATTTTGTCACTCAAGAGGGTCGACTGAGCTCCAACAGTGCCTGCTTTCACCCTACCCAAAACACTTTTTCTGATCATTTTTTCCCCTCTTGGTGGGCCTCCTTAGATCTCAGCCCATCCTTCAGGGTGGGCTGCAGCAGTCTTTAATCCAAAAAGCATGGACAGTGCTTGGTCACATCCCTAGGGACCCCTCTAGCTCCCAGTGTTACTATGGGAGGATGTCTTTCCAAGTTCTTTGTTCAAGTTATTTTTCTGGGGTGCCAAAAAAGGGAGGAAAAGAAAGGAAAAAGTGTCAAACCAGTTTTGAATCAGAAGTAGGGAATGAAAAAGCTTGTATTTTAATGGATTTCAGCTTTCTGGGAATTCATGTCTCCATATGTGATGTCCAATAACAAGTGCTCAGTATGAAAAAGTTCTGGGATTAACACTGACTTTTTCATTAAGTAATATGATTTCAGCTCCTAATTGGTACACGGGACACTGAAGAATCAGAGTCACTCCATCTGGACTCTAAGTCTGCAGGATTAGTGCTTTACAGTAATCCACAAATTCATTAAAATTATTAAAGGACCAAGCTGAAAGCACGGAGCTGTGATTATCCTGCAACGGCAGTTATGTAGGATGTTAAGGAAAACACCCCCACAACAGCTGGGCAAATCCCAAGTCAAGACACTCAAGAACAAAGACACAAAAGGGTGCTCTGAAAATGCGACCTCTGGATTCACCACGGGCAAACCCAACCATCCTGCACGTATCATTGCTTCCTAGGAAGCAAAAATCCAGAAATTGGAGGAAGGAAAAAGATGAGGAATCTCTCACCCCCCCAAAAAAAGAAAAGAAAGGCCATAAAACCCCATTCAAAACATGAACAGATGCAGTAGCAGCTCCCCACACAAGCAGCATCCAGAAATGCTGTAGTTAACACACCGCTGTGACAAAGCAACAGAGCTAAGCATCCTCTTCCTGCACAAGAAGAGCATTGATCACCTTTTAGATGCTTCCACCTCCTGGAAAAGTTTGGTTAGAGTTAGTTTTTAAGACATTCTGGGGGAGAGAAGAACAAAGACTAGCTGGATGACATGAACAGGAAGCCAGAAGAACTGCAGCTGAGAAAGGATGGAAGAGGTAACCAAGGCACAAAATTCAAGACATTACCACATCAAAGCTGATGAACGAGACCTTCTCCACACATGCAAACACAGCAGAACTGATAATCATCCATCACCTTGGCTTTACAGACAGGAACAGAGGAGGTGTCTTTCAGGAACTCTTGCAAGCTCTGATGTAAACGTGCTCTGACAACACCCAAGATGTCTTGGCATTTGGATTTGCCTAGGCTTCACCCCCAAAAGAGACACTAAGCTATGCAGCTGCAAGGCTTTTTCTGCCTGAACACTGCATGTCTCCTCAATAGGATTTAGCAAGATAGTTATCAATTCCCATACAAGCTTCTACACCAACAGCAAAAACCTGCTGGGAAGTCAGATATTGGAGCATCTGATGCAACACAAAAGCCTAGTAAGGATGACAAAGCAGGATCTTGAGATTTCTTGCTTTTAGAGACTTGATGGGGTCTCCCCATGTCTTGTTTTCAGCCTTCAATGACTCTGCCGTTGATCTTGATGAACTCTCACTAGCCAGCATGGACCAAAGTCATGGAAAGAGAAACTGAGGAGCAGAGCATGCCCATCCTCTGACAGCCTGCTTTCTAAGGAACCCAGTATTTTAGCCATGCTCTTCAGATTGCAACCAAGAGCTAAAAGCTACAGCACAGAGTTTGTAAAGTAAGCTGTGGTGGATTTTAAGCATGCCTTATGTAAGAGAGCACACAGAGAGAAACCCAAACCCCGCTGTTAGGTTATAAAAAGGGATTTTCCTCACTTAATTCTTCTTTGTACAAGCTCTTGAGATCAACCCTTTCAAGGTCAGAAGAAAGATGTGATATTTCAGTCTCTTGAGTGCACCCAAGGACATTGGTACAAGGGTACAGCTGGGTACCTAGGAAGTGGCCAGACTGAACAGGAGACTTCTCAGGTTTCCTTTGTGAAAGCAAGCATGTAGTTCTTCCAACAGAAGGCTCTGAACTGTGTAGTAGCCAGGAATGGAACACCTTATACGCCTACAGCATGCAGCACATGTCAGGAAAGCCATGAAAATAAATGAGGTGAGAGCCATTAAATTACAAAGTTGTGTCCAGCTCTGAAGTTCATAGCATCTGACAAAGCAGGATTAGAGACAGCATTATTGTAGCAAGGTCATTTTATGCTCAAAAGACATCTGCCAAATAACATTACCTTCAAGCCTCAACATTCAAAGATGACAGACAGTGCTGAACATAAAGATGAGGCCAAGCCAAAAGACATCCCCCTGGAGGGACACTGAAGTTTGTGTCAACTCAAATCCTATCTTTGTGTTGATATAGACAGTGATATAACAGTGACTTCTCCCCATTTAAGAGCACCCATATGGAGTGTTAAGTAGGGCAATTACATGGTTAGGCTGCCTTGTCTAAGCAAGTCCTTAGGGAATGTTTGCTTAGAGATGATCATCAAGTGCGTGTTGCTCTTTGTGTGTCCAATAAACACCAGGACATGAAGTCTGGATGGGTCCTGGGTGACAAGGCACACCCAGGGTTTTATTTATGACCTGGGTGCAAAAACAAGGCCACTGCCTTCCAGCTTTCTTCCAGGCAATAATAACAGACAACACTAATCACTTGTGGAAAGAGGTGGAGACCAGGAAGTCCAAAGAACAAAGACACGTACAAAAGGACTAATTTCTGCTCTTCCATTTCTGCTGGAAGAATGGGAGCTTGGAAGTGACTGGTGGAAAGCAAAACTTAAGTACCTGAAGTCATCAAAGAACAGCATGACACCTGTCAGAAAGGAAAGCAATCCTGGGATGTGCTGGTACAGTTATAAGCAAGAAAAATGGAAATCTAGATCCAGGCATCTCTTTCAACTTGGAATATTGTATGACTGTATTCCTGGGTGGTCCTGTGGAGCCAGGATTTGGACTCAATGATCCTTACTTGTGATAGTCTATGATTTTATGCTACTTGAGGGATTCTAGCATCTGCAGATCCTGTTGTTGAAGGAGAAGGTACATTCACATCTGAAGGGGACTTCACAGTTCAGGAGTATGGTAACAAGTCAGGCATGAATCTATCAAAATGAGAAGTGAAAATGGAGTCTACAGCTGTAAGTTGAGTTATAGCCCCAAGAGGTATTGCAGCAACTGCTCCTGGTTACCTGGAGAGATTGGCTGAATTATGGGAGGTACTCCACAGCCCACAGAATAACAAAGAAAAGCTGAAAATGTTTAATTCATGCCTAAACCATAGACATTCATAGTATTGCAGTGGTGAATTGGTTGGTGCTGACCTGGGTTGTACACCCAGCAACCCAACCACACCTGCCCACGGAGGTTCAAGGAGAAAGTAGCAGGGGAACAAGGCATGAGCCAGTCCTTATCTAGCATTTGGGTATGTAAACATACAGAAACCTCTGGTGCCAGGAGTACAATACATAGAGGGTGAGCTGCTGCCTTCAGAGAAGCCATAGACTCATTTTTTTTTTTTTTCATCCCCTCCAGTGGGGGAAGTCATTTGGTTTCAGGCAAATTGAATTATCTGCCCCCAGATTTGTAGCCCAAGTCACGCATTGCACATGGGCTGGAGCACATTCCCACTGCCAGTGTTACACAACATTGAGTCTTTCAGTGGAGAGCAATGCAGTTGACAGGTATATAGCCCAGGACCTTGGATTAACAACAGGATTAGCCCCATCACAGCTTCCAGCTTTAAATTAATCCAGGAGATGCTGGATACCAGAATACACAAAGCATAGCCCAGTTGTATTTAACAGTTATTTATGATGTGCAGCTCACTATATTCCTGCTATTTCAGCTGCCTTCAGCATCTTCATTACCCCACATTGCTGTACATGTTCCTTACAGAACCTAACCTTTGTTTCCCAGGGAATACATAGCTTGCTTTATTTTAAGAGAGGACATTCCATGGTGATTTCAAGCCCCTGTAGTTCTGCTCCTTACACCAGAGCTCAAGGTTGGCTGCTCCAAGTATACATACAAAACATCAGAAGCTCAAACGGAGTCTGGTTCCATAACCCACCCTTATCTCATTGCCTTCTACCCAATCTGTTCCCATAAGAGCCAACCCAGGTGCTACTCCTACATGTATCAAAGACTGTAGAGTGTGAATAAACACATTTTTCAGGGTGAAAAGACAAGCAAGGATGTCAAATGAGACTGACACTTGATAGCCAAGAGAGGCACACTCCAGATAGCCTTCATGAGCAAGCTATCCTCTGGTCTAAAATGCAAGTTCTGTTGATGGGAGGAAGACTTATGGACAGTGCCAAAGCCATGCTGATGCTGGCCTCTGTTTATTGCTAATCCTAAAGGTCTCTGTCCTCCACAGCTCTTTTAGCATTCCCAGGTATTGAGCTCCTACAGCACCCAACACCACCAAGCAAACCACTGACCTGCCCAGCACTGCAAGTTTGCTGTTTTCATGCAAAACAACATGCAAAAGAGCACTAAAGTACAAGGAAAACCCAACTACTTTCACCCAGGAAGTGCTCCCAGAAGTAATGCAAGCAGAGGTGGGTGACCCCATGCAAAGTTCATAGAGACCAAATAGTCTCCAAGTTCATAGAGACCAAAGACAACCCCAACCTTCTACACTACTACACTAGGCATGGATGCAGTCTCACCACACTCCAAATCTTCTCCAGCAATTCATGACCTCCAACTCATAAATAAGATAGGTACTTCCTTCCATCCACTCTGTGATGTAATATTGTCTCCTAACAGTCACGCACAAAGGTTTGTCCCCAAAAGGGATTTTTTTTTTTTTTTTTTACATGCTCAGGTGGTCCAGCAGCCACAAAGCTTGCCCTAGCAATAGGACAGGCTCTCCACACCTACTTCATTGCCAGAATAACTGGTGTAAAAGCCCTGCTATTTCAGTGCAGCCAGAGCTGTCACCCAGCATTATTATTCCCCACTGCAACCCATGAGTCGTAGATTAGGTCAGCACAGGATAAGTAGCCAAGTGACCCTGGTTTAGCCATGGGACAGGGGAAAACAAAACCCAGAGAGCTGTTCCAGGCGCTGAAGAAGGCTTTAAAAGTCTCCTTTTTAGAAAATCATCGATATTTTCTCAATTTCCCCATTTCAGATTGGAGCGTGAGCTGCTACAGCAAGGCAACAGGTCGGTCATGGTGAAAGCTACTGCTCTTTTCATGTCTATTTATATAGAAAAGTCCTTATCACAGAACTAATCTCACAGAGCACTCTGGCTGAAAGCTGTTTTTCCTGTGGGAGACATTACCAGCTAAAACCCTCTAAAACCTTTATTGAGAATATGGTTACATCACACAGCCCTTTAACAAATGGGCTGAGGATTAAGGTTTTAAACTTCCCAAAGGGGGGGAAAAAAATAAATAAATAAAAGAAAGGCAAAGGGGAGGGAAATGGGGCATTGGGCTTTTTAATTTTAACTCAGAGCCTTGCATTTTTGGAAAGATGCAGTTGCTACAGTGCTGTGTGTCATGGGAGCCAAGGCATGGAGCCAGCAGGAAACAGATGCATCAAATCCATGGCCCCACAACACTAACCCAGGGAAAAAAAAAAAAAAAGGAAAAAAAAAAGAGCAACACCATAGCATTTGTGATTCCCCTATGAGAGGATGAACACACGAGGCTACACCCACAGTCTGAGTGAAGAAAAAAAAAATGCTGGTTGTATTGAGAGTGCACTTCAAAATTGATAGTACTGATAGGAAATGCCATTAGATTGTTTCTTTGAAAGGGAAAATCACGTTAGGAGAGATGCTGCATATCCTCTGATAGGTTTTACCCCTTTAAAGCTTGGCAGTGTTTAGCTGCGTTATCCTCTCCCAACAGTTTAAAACAGAATAAACTGAAAGAAGGAAAACTCACAACAGGTAAATGTGAAAAAAAGGGGCCCAACTAATCTCCCTTTGCAAATTGGCACCTGCTATCAAGAAACAGCCCTGAGTGAACTCAGCCTGGTTTAAGGTTGCAGCCTTCAGAGCTGCAGTGGATTGAGTGATTCAGGGTCTCAGATTAATCCACAGATTGCAATTTCAATCCATACTCCTTTTTTTTTTTCTTACTTATTTTTTGGCTAAAGGGCTGCAGAAAGGCAGCAACACCCTGCAAAAAAAAGAAAAAAAAGTTTCCTGGAAAACTATTTTTGCAAAAGGGATGGGATAAGAGTGAAGGTTTTTCTAGCTGCTGACAGAATAGGTGCATGAAAAATCCCATTAATACTCATACTGGGGTTGCTATTATGGCTGTTATGCTCTTTAAGGAGCAACGGCAGGAGGGTGCAAGCTTCCCTTGGCACTCAACGTCAGGTTGGTGGCACCCAAGGACAGAACTCATCCTACTGTTACTAATTAATCAAGCGGCACCAGCTGAGTAATTGCTGGAATAAGGGGACGGATCACACTGGGATAAAGGGGCAGGGCTGACAGCACCTCCAGAAGCTGAGTGGGCTTCTAGAGAATAGGGAAAAAAAGAGATGAAACAGGGAAGAACTGAGTTTAGGAGGAGCGTGGCAGGTATTCAGGTGATGATATTGGATTGAGGGTGACTCCATATCCCACCTCAGCCCCCAAAGGACACCCAGAGACAGTAGGGGGGAACCCCATATTCCCCCTCCCCACCCTAAACACCACCTTAAGACAACACTGAAAGTTCAGACTGAGCCGCCGCCACCCCTCTCCCCTCCAAAACTTAACCCTACGTAACGCTATTACGAAAGGAGGATTAGGAAAGAGGTGTTAAACCCCATCCCACCCCACGTCTCACCTTTCGGGCACTGCTGCTTTTCAGGGCTCGCAAAAGGGCGAAGCCCCCAACCCCTTCTCCTCCTTCAACCGTGCTCTGCTCGTCCTCTGCAGGAGGCATCATTTCCGAGGGGGGGGGGCAGCCACGAATCTCCCACTGGGAGCTTCCCCCCAGGGGCCCTTTTCCCGTTGTACCCCTCACCCCCCCCTCCCCTTTTCTCAGCACTGAGGGCAACGCCGGGCGGCGCGGAGCATAAGCAAGGCAGCGGGGCGGGGCGAACGGAGGAAGTAGCCAATAGGAAAAGAGAACGGTGCGGATGGGCAGCGCCGCCGTCCAATGGACGGCGGAGAGGTGAACGGAGGGGAGGGGGGAAGGGGAGCCCGTCGCCCGTAGCAACGGTGGGAATTAGAACGCTGTGACGTCACGCGACGGGGGCGGGGCCTCGCGGAGTGCTTCGCCCCGCCCCCCCCCGTGCGCATCTGGGAGCCCCTGGGCACATCTGGATGGGGGAACAGCTGCATCATCCAGGGCTTTGACATAGACAACCATTGAAATAGACAACAACAACTAAAATTGTTTTTTAAATGGCTAAAATCTATTATTTTTACAGCAAAAATTAAAAATAATTTTAAAAAGAAAGAAAATCAGGTTTGGTTTGTTTTTTTTTTTTTACGTTTTATGGCAAAAGAACTTAAAAATGAAATATATATATATTTTTTTAAATAATTTTCACAAGCAAATTCTGCCCTGCTTTCACTTCTGTGAGCCATGGGGTTAACAAACATCAGTGTTCTGCTTCTCATAGTATACGAGCTGGGTGAAAAGCAGCAAAATGTCATGGAAAATACCCAGAGGTTGGAAAATGATAATTCCCAGTTGCACCTGGGACCCTTAAATATGCGGCATCCATCGCAGTGCTGCGTGTGTCATCCCAAAAGGTCCCTTCTACTCCTGGTTTTGTTTCTATAATGAAGTTAATGAGAGTGCACTTGTGTACAATGAATCCTATGCACGTCAACTCCACTCAGCTGTTTAATGAAGGGAAATATTAGCCTCGTGTGTATTAGATCATTGCATAACAGCCAAAATAAACTAAACCCTATCCGCCTTTCCTGTATGATTTTCCCTTGTCGAGGCTTTGAGTGTTTCATGCTATCTTGAGGAGAGCAATGGGTTATTCTCATTTGGTTTCCCAATCCAAAAAGAGCTTCTGGAACAGAATGACAAAAACAGCATTTAATCCAGAATGGCTGCAATGCCTTTTCTGCTGAATATCACAGCAGAGTTGAATGCTTTAATCCTGATGCACAAGCCAAGGAACATATAGGAAAAGGAATTCCCTGCACTCATGCACTGTCTCCATTGGGATTTTCTCTTTCTGCTCCATGTTTTGCTCATGAGGAAGTTAGCTAGGATTGAAACTTCATGAGAACATTGCCACCAACAGGGTGACAGCACCGTGGCATCACCAAACCATGCAGAGATCCCATTGGAGAGCCCGACACGGTGCCATCCTGCTCCCATTTCAAAGAGCTTTAGCACCTGCAATGGGAAACCATACAATAATATGTAATATATATCCAGTTTTAACCCAGATTTTGTTTGGAGAGGAGAGAGATGCAAATTGGAGCACTTATGGCTTGGGATAGGTTTTTTTTTCCCAGCTCATCTACCCTCCAAACCCCATCCTTTCCCATCACGGACAACACAACCAGCAGTGAGATCTCAAGAGAAATTCTCATCGAGGTTAAATAAATCCATATAGGTTAAAAAAAAAAAAAAAAAAAAACACCCAAAAACCTGAATATACACCAGTCCCCAGCTTATAGAAGGCTTCCAAGAGCAAACAAGCCATAGCATGCCATTGTCTCCTGCTCCCTGCCCTGGGGCAGGCTCCCACCCCTTGATGACTTTTACTCATCCAGCAAGAAAGGTGGCTTGGGTGCTTCTTCTCTATGTGGCGCAATGGGATCAAAGAGGATTCTCCTGGAGCCAGCCCTGCCTTGGGGTGTTTCCGCTTCAGCACCTTCCCAAGGGAACGCAGGGCCCCGCTATTTGCCCATATATGGGGTGATGCTGAAAAGTTTCCTTAAAAACCAAACTTTGTAGGCGATGCTCACGTATCTTGTTATGCAAAGTTTAATAACATAGATTGGAAAAAGGCACTTAAAAGAATTATGTCCAGCCATCGATCTACCACAACCGAGACCACCTTACACCACATCCCTTTTAATACCAGATCTATGGTGGGAGAGCTACTAACCCAAATCATAGAATATGGGACAGCGGGTAAAAATTTCCTTAAAAAACAAACTTTGGGGCAAAGGTCACGTTTTGTGCTATGCAAAGTGCCCATAGAATCATTCGGGTTGGAAAAGAATCAATATCATCAAGTCCAACCATCAACCTACAACTACAAAGAGCACCACAAGTGAGATGGAAGTGTTCTGAGTTACCTGTAGCCCCTTTCCACCAACCCCATGTGCTGCTGATGAGGAGATGCTTTGGCAAAAGAGGAGATCCTCAGCTGCAAAGAGGTAATGGATGGGAATGAGTGCAGGTGCAATCAATAGTTTCACCTGTTTGAATAGGGCTGAAGAGAGAGCAGCATGGGTGAATGCTTCAGAGTGAAAGTTATGGCCAGAAGTACCTATGAGACTTCAAGCTCTGCACCCAGTGCCTGGGTTTAAACACTCTGCATTCAAGCATGGGGCTCTGATGGGTAAGAAGCAGGTGAGAAAGACTGTGTTTAGATTTCTAATTATCTGATAGCAGGGGTGAAATCCTCTGGAAGAGAAAAGATAGCTTGTGGGTGCTTTTTTTCTGAAGCAATACAAAGCCCTTGTGTACCCTTGCTAAAAGCGTTCTGGCTAGGTTTCTCCTTAAACTCGTTTTGGGGGCTGAAAGCTTCATTTCCCCAGGTGCATTTTAGGCTGGGAGCCTCCAATCAGGACCAAGAGAGTCTTAAAATAAACTGACTTTATGGAGAGGGTGTTTTCTTTTGGGGAGTAGTTGGGTGAAGGTTGAGGCTTTCTCTAGCTCGAGTGGTTTTGAGCTATATTTCTTGCATTCTTTTAGGCCTTGAGTTTCAAGGGAAGACAGTAATTTTTAGGAAGATTTTGCCTGTTCCTGCAGTAGAAAGGAGGGGAGGTGGTATCCTAACTCTAAAATCAAATTCTAAAGTGTGCATTTGCATATTTGCTGTATTTTATTATATTTTGGCTCTGATCATTTTTTTGGGGGGGGTATATTCAGTGCTGTGGGTAACTTGTGTTGCATCTTCTGAGTGCAAATCCAGCCCAGCACACAATCCCTGTCTACTTTTATGAAGCTATTCACGTTACATGGGGATTTATTTTGGGACAGAGCATGGAAAATGAAGCTATCAACATTTTAGGTGCTAAGCTTAATGCTTTGCTGCTTGATGGTCCTTTTGGAAGTTGAGCTACAGAGTGAGCACTCAGTAGGGTTTTCCCTGAGAGCATTGCTGGGATGTTGTCACTCATCTCTATCTTGTTGCAGTGTACATCCTTGGGAATGCAGCCTTAATTCTGTGTCCTATCCTGAAGTGCCAGCCATCAATGAAGCTATGGGGGTCTCAGGGACCAAGAAGATAAAGGACAGCAGCAGTCGGTGGGCAGCTTGGTGGGGTTTGGGGTTTTATTGCAACTAATAGTTGCAATAAATATAGTTTTGTTGCAACTAATTCTAGTGGGCAGCTCATTAATTGTCCTTTTGGGAAGTGCTTTTTTCTGGTAAGGTTATGCAGTGCAGCTGTATGCTATGGGTTATTGTCACCAAAGCATTCATAGAGAGGTTGGCCTCTATGGGATAAATTTGCTATCATCCTCAGAAAGCAAAAGAGCAAGTTGGAGAAGGGGCAGAGGATGCTGAAGGCAACTCAGGTGAAGGAGCAACCAGAAGAAATACCATGCATGGGGCAGGTACTTGACAGCCCTTTCTATACTTGGGCAGTGGAGATGATTCTTGTGTGTGCCTTGGTGTTTCACAGGCACTAAATCCATTGCATTAACTTCTCTCTTCCTTTCTCCTGGTATGTAGACTGCTGTGCTAAAAGGGAAGAAGAAAGTCAAGGAGAAGCCACTGCAGGAGAACACCATCAGTAGGTAACTCCTTAGCTGGATGGAAGGGTTGAAGGCATCTATGGGGTGGGGATGGGAGCTGTGGGGCTTTGCTTATTCCAGGTTGGAATCATTATTATTATTAAAATAGTTTTTTTTTTTTTTTTTTTTTTTTCAATTAATAAAAAAACACCAACATGTCTTCTCTTTCCTTTCTGTCCAAGAAGCTCTCTAAGGCATGAGGTTGCAGAAGAGAAATACCTCAGCTCAAGCTGGCAGGATGGGATTCAAGTGAAGGAGGAGGCTGCATCCTTGTTGGTACGTGGTGGTCTCTGTGCTGAGGGATTCAGAAACACTCTTAGTTTACTTTCAAGGGAGCTGTGGGGATAGTGTCCTGTAGCTTGGTGTGAGCCCACAAAAAGGATCCTTTGAGAAACTGCAATTAAATAAAAGAACTGAAGCTTCTGTACTCTACTAGTAGATGTGGGTGGCATTGAGGTTGCATCCAATGTATTTAGTGTTGGATCAAGAGTGTGAGCTTGCCCTAATGGGAAGCACCAACATTCCTTTTGCTAATAGCTTTCCCTATTCTATGGTTCTATGACTTGCTGTTGTTCTTGGGATAATGCTAGGAAGCATGTAGGCTATTCTTTGTGTATCTTGCATTACCCATGTTAATATGCCTCGCTTGGGTAGGTGGAGCCCCATCTCCATGTAGACCTCAGGAGAAGTTGCAGTACTTTGTGTTGACATCTAGGACTGGTGATAAACCCATGGAGGTTTTTGCCATAGCAGAGCCCTTGGTGATTTTTTTTTGTTTTGCTGCTTTAGGGATACTTGGCATATGCTTTTACCCTCTCATGATGAGTGTCCATCTTTCTTGCAAATGGTGTTTAAAATGTTGACCTTTCCCAATTGAAGCTGCGTTGCAGCCTTGAAACCTAAAAGCATCGTGGTTGATATCCTGTTATTGCCCCCATTCTCAATAGCATTTGCATGCAGGATTTCTGTGGAAAAGCCTGGCTCCTGAATTGACCACCTAATTTCTGATGGCGGCTGGATGATTGTGAATCTGAGAGCAGGCATATTCCCAGAGAACAGAAGTGCGTATTGCCATAACCAACCTATAATTAACTCAGCTTTCTTACCCCTTAATGAGTTAACCCAGCTGCTTCTCATGAGCAGCTTTCAAGAAAAATCCCTGTGTGGTTTTGGCCTCCCTTGAAAGCTTTTGGAAAGAGAAACTCAGGGAGTCAGAATTTCTTAACAAGATCCCCAGTGCTTGGCAAGCACTGGTTGAAGCTGGCATGGGTTTCAGGGCAGTGGACATAGCCTTGCATAGTAGTTGGCAGATTCTGGGGCTCTGAGTCCAACCTGAGTGCATTTGCTTCCAGATCCTGTCCTCTTTTTTTCCTGTGGTTTTGCTTTTTTCCTTCACTTCCTTCCCTGCTGTTCCCTCTTGTTGTATTTCCCACCTATGGCTTTGTCCCTTGCATCTCTTTTCTTTCTGCCATCTGCTACAATGGCCATTTAACCTTGTAAGGAATAAGCTGGCCTGAATGCACATAAGCAGTGGATTAGAAGCATCTTTTTTGGAGCACTCCCATCTTTCTGGCATCCTGGCCCAGTGTCTCCAGTAACAGCAGTACATCTAATAAGCATGTGGATAAGGCAGGTGATTTTTTTGTGGCTGTACTCTACAGAATACCTTTTTTTAGCAGTGAAGTTAAGATATTGTTTTCCAAACCTAATAAAACCTCAAAGGTGCCTCTGTGTTTGGAGAGATCAGGCTAATTTATGCCCATTGTTTTGGGCTCTGGGTTTCTAGAAGAGGTGGCTGAGGAAGGGGATGTTTGTAGGATGCAGGGACCACAGCCTGGGTGACTGCTGTCAAAGGAGCTGGGTAATTGCTTGGGGACAATGCTGCTGTTGGGATACCCATGCAAACTCTGCCTTTTTAATCCCTTGCTGCATCAGTGCTGTTAATCCCTTCCAGGAGGAAACTGATTCCATCCTCCACCAAGGGTCATCAGAGGGACTGAAGGATTCCTCCAGGTAAATCAGGATGTTTTCTTGATTTTTTTTTTTTTTTTTTTTGTGCAGAGAAATGGGAACTTATCCTTTATCTTCTTTATCATTGAGACTACCCCACTCTTCATGCCTTTATGGGGCTTGGATGTGCATTGGTGCCTCTGATGGCCCCCAGAGATGGCCAGAAAACAATGCAAGTAGGATTTGAGTGTGTATCCTGGGCTTTGGGTGGATGTGGGAGGCTCCTGGCCTGATCTGACCTCTCAAAGCATAGAAGGATGCTCAAGTCAGCAAGGCACAATTGCTTGGCTGCACATACCTACATAAATGTGGAGGTAGGCGGTGAGGAAACACTAGGGGGGACAAGCAGTCTCACAGTGCCTGGGAAAAGGGTGTTTCTATCCCTCTCCCTATGCTAGATCTGGGTAGAGATAAAAACCTGCATTCATAATGCTGGCCTTCAGCTGGCTGATCCTCTCCACTTTGCAGAGGCAGGGGCTTTCATGTCCAGTGAGAAGCCTCTAATAAGAGGCTTTTGGGGATGGACCTCCTCTGAAAAGGCTGCAGGACTTTGCCTTCTGAGTCACAAATCAACTGGCTCCTAATAATATTGAAGTGTGTTTTGCCTAGCTATTTGCACTAATGAGTTTAGTGAAAATTGTGCAATACTCCAAAAATGCATCCGGACTGGGCCATCTCCCTGGTGTTATTTCCCCGGAGCTGCTTTGGGGATTTGGCTGTGGGAAAACAAGTTCTTCTCCAGGGATTTGACTGCAAAGCCATTCTTTAACTTGGCTGTAGGCCATGCGTCCTCCATGGGGCAGCCTGGTGGGACATGGGAGAGCTATACAGGGTCTTGAGTTTGATATGTCAGGGAGCCATGAGGCACTGCTGGTGAAGAGTGGGAATGCTGACTCTTCACAGGCATCTGAAGACAGGGTGGGAAGATCCCATCCAATGGCTTGCTGTGATGAAGTGTTGATGGAAACAACTAGGGTTATTTCTCCCCGATGTAGAATAAGCTGTTGGTGCTGATCCTCAAGCTGTTGCCTTTCTGGGGTGTTTTCTCCTCTACCCTGAGCAACCCTGAAGGTTTTCTGGAAGCCTGGTTTGCTCTAGAGTCCTGCAGTCTAGTAACTTAGCACTGCACTCCTAGAAATTAGTGGAGCATCTCCCTTCCATTGTTGAAATTGACTTTGCTTGTTGGATGCTCTGGCCTTCTTTATATAGGAAAGTTGGTTCTTTATGGTATTAGCATATACCAATGAGCTTCCAAAAATTCACCTGATGTCTTTGTTGACTGATAAAATGTTGCTGCTTTCCCCACCCATGTTGCTGCCAGTGGAGATCACAGATCTGGATGCCCCTTGTCATCCTTCAGGCTATTTTGATGAAGGGGTTGTGTACTTCCTCATCATGCTGGCCCTCTGTTCCCCTTGTTAAGAGGGATGTGAGGGTGTCTGCAAATCCTCAGAGTCATGGAAGTCTGTCTTACCCAAAGGCTACCACTTGCTCCAGTGTTTCCATGATGTTCAGATGCCACCTCCATGTGCTACTTTATTCACCAAACCCTGCAGAACTGTCCTGTTCACTAGGCAGGGGTGTTCTTGGAGATGTCCATGGGCGTGATGTGTCTACACTTGATCAGGAGATCTTGTGGTCCTGCTCATTTGAGTTTTGTCATAAAACTGTTTTGAGTTGGAAGGGTCTCTTAAAGGACATCTAGTTCAACTCCCCCTACTGTGAACAGAGACATCTACAGTTCAGGCAGGTGCTCAGAGCCCTGCCCAGCCTGACCTTGAATGTCTCCAAGGATGAGACATCTACTGCCTCACTGGGTAACCTGTTCCAGTGCTTCACTACCCTTATTGTAAAAGAAAAAACAAACAAAACCTCCTTCAGTCTAAACCTTATATTCAGTCTAAACGTCCCCTCTTTTAGTTTGAAAACATTTCTTCTTGTTCTATCAAGGGAAATGTCATGCTGTAAGCTGCAAACAGGCCGTCCCATTCCTACAAAGGCTGCTCTCTGCTGCTTTGGGTTATCTTCATCTGCTGCAGCATGGGGTATTGCTGTGCTGGAGGAGATGTGAGCATGTTCAGGAGCAATCCCTTGTTTTTTCCCTCGGTAAGATGCAGAGGCTGCATCTTGCTAAAATTCTGGGCTCCCCAGAGAGCTGAATATATTTGATAGGGTCTAATGAAGAGCCACAAAGATGCTTCTTGACCTGGAGCAGCTCTGCTGAGTGGAGAAGCTGAGAATCACAGAATGTTGTAAGTTGGAAGGGACCCATAAAGATCATAGAGACCAATTCCTGGCTCCATGCAGGACCACTCAAAATCCAAACCCTATGTTTGAGAGCATTGTCACAACACTCCTTGAACTGTGACAGTTTGGGGCTATGACTGCTGCCCTTGGGAGCCTGTTTCATGCCCACCACTCTGGTGAAGATCCTAACATCCACTTGACCCTCTCCATAGGGTCACAGCCATTCCCAGAGAGAAGAGCTCAGCACTGTCCCTCTGGGGAGTTGTAGGCTGCTATGAAGTCTCCTTCAGCCTCCTCTGCTCTGGGCTGAACAAACACAGTGATTTTGGCTGCTTTCCTTATGTATTGCCCTTCAGATCCTTCCCCAGCTTCATGGTCTTCCTTTGGATGCTTTTTAATAGTTGTATGTCCTTTCTATTGTGCCTAAAATTTTGTTTCTGGGCAACTTGCTCCTACTTGAGCAGATGGACAAAAAGGTCCATTCCAACCTCAGCCATTCTGCTATGAGAAGAGGCTGTGTGTTTGTTACAGGTCAAAGAGTAAATCCCAGAGAGAGGGACCTGCAGTGGGACAGCAGCTCTCAGAGACAGAGGACAAAGTTGGGGTAGGAAAGCTGTGGGATGACCGTGGTTCCCCAAACCCAGTTTTGCATGGTATGCTCCTCCTCTGTGCGTCTGTTTGCTTTGTCTCCTTTCCCAATGTCAACCTTTTTTTCCCCTGTTTTTTGCTTCCTGCAGCTCCTCGAGCCAAGTAGAGGTGATAATGGTGTGGCTGCACTCCTCTCTGGAGAACCTGGGGCATCAGGGTTGGCTGTGGAGGTCACTACTTTGAGGGAGAGTGTGGAGAAAGTACTAGACCCCCATGTCCCAGTGCAGAAAGGGGATGCCAGGGGCATGAAAAGAAAAAAAGAAACAGAGAAGAAGCAAGAGCCAAAGAAGCAGAAGGAGAATTTGTTCAGAAAAAGAGGGATCAAAAAGGATAAGTTAGAGGAAAGCCTTGGGAATGTGATGGAGGACATCGGGGAGGAAGATGGTGCTGATGGGGACAGGAATTGTGGAGTCAGACAGGGTAAAGCCAAGCAAAGGAGCAGCAGCACATGGAGAAGGGCTGATGAGAGGGAAAAGCAGAAGAGGAGAGGGGAGAAGCGCAAGAAGGTAAAAGTAGAGGAGGAGGAGAAGCAGGGGAGGAAGAAAATAAAGAAGGAGAAAAAGGTAGAAGAGAAGCAAGAGCTGGGAAGGTTGGGTGAGGAATTAGGAGTGGGAGATGTAGGAAAGGAAAGTGAAGATGAGAAAGGACTAAAGGAGGGCGAGGTGGATGAACAGGGAGAAAAGGGATGGGGGCAGATTCAGAGCATGGAGACTGAGGAAAAGGAGGTGGGGAATGGAGATGTGCTTGGGAAAAAGCAGAAAGCCAGGGAGAAAAAGCCAAAAGAGAAAAAGGAAGAGAAGGGGAAGAAAGATAAAGAGAAGAAGAGCAAAGAGGAAGAGACCCCAAAGAAAACCCAGAAAAGAAAATCTAAGAATGAAGGAGAGGAGAATAACAACAAAAAGGTTAAAAAGGGGGGGAATGGAAAAGAAAAGAAAGAAGAAACAGAAAGCAAGTGGAAATGGTAAGCATCCTGCATGTGTTCAGCCTCTGAGCAGATTTAACTTGAATGTAATGAAGCTTTTAGCTTTATTTCTTAGGATAGAACTGAAACTTTTCTATTTTTTATTAATATTTTTATTAACTGCTTGGCTGTATCTTCTGAGGTCCTGAACTTGATGCTTTGGGCAAGAGGAATGGTGTGAGAGATAACAGGAGGTTGTGACAACATAATAGTATTCATGTGATATTTTTTTATGGTACATACTACTATAAGAATACATATTCTTCCTGAACTGGCTTTCCTGATGCCCAACCATGGCTGGTGAAGGGAGATGATCGACAAGCCCCCTTTCCAGCCTGTCACAAACCCTGAGCTGTATGGAGCTGCTGGGCATTATCCCAGTTATCCCAGACTGGGATGCTCGTGGGTATCACCCACATCATACAATGATAAAACGACTTTGGTTGGGAAGGAATGTCTTAAGATCATTTAGTTCCAACAACCCCAGACCTTAGGAAATGATTTTGTGGGGCACTGCGTGTTTTGAAAACAGATTTAGAAAACAAACAAACAAACAAAAAAAACTCTGTTTCATAAAAAGCAGTGCTGCTACATCGCTTAAGTCGTGTGTTAGGCTGAATTGCCTCAAAGCTCACACACAGAACTACATTTCCCACAAGGCTCCATTGCTCCAACACGTGGGGGAAGTGCCACAACCTCAATCAATAGCGGGTGTCTTCTTCTCATGGCAATGCTTTGGGCAATGCCAGCGTGCCCCAGTGGGTAACAGGGTGCTGGGACACGATGCTGGGGGGTGACCACCTCTGTGGGCTGTGGGTGGGATGTATCGGTGTTTGGCCACCTCGCTGCTTGGCCGAGGGGTCCCTCGCCCTCCATTCATCCCCACTGCCTTCCGTGCAGGGTCAGGGGGCTGCAGCAGGTGAGTTGAGGGGTTTGCTTTGCTTGGCTGGAGGGTTGCATGGGTTTGGGGGGGGGGGAGAGGTGGAGGTATTGCAGCGCTCTGCAAATCACTGCCGGCCTCTCAGAGGCGCTTTCAGCCACGTTTTCTGCAGCCTGTTGATTTAATATGTGTATATCTTTATATTTTCCTAAATATCTTTATATATATATATATATATATATATATATATATTTTCCTATATATTTTTTGATGCAATCTATCCAGCTTTTGATGCAATCTCCTCCTGTGGAACGCTCCTTCTCTGAAACACTTCCGGGGTACCGCCGAGCAACATGACTCCATTCTTAGTCTTTGTTTTCTGCTCTTTTTTCTTTTCTTTTCTTTTCTTTTCTTTTCTTTTCTT